AAACTGTTTCCTTCGTCAAATTTCCTGAACTTCAACCCCGTTTTCGCCGTTTCTACAGGCTTCATCTCAACCCTCTAAATCGAAATAATGGATAAGGATCGAAGTAATTGGACACCCTCTAATTATCACCTAATTAGAGAGGATCCCAATCCATCTATGTTCACACAATAAAATAAATTTCAATAGAAATGGGGGAAATAAGTCAATATGGCACCTATAGATCTTTCCAAAAAATTTAGATAAGTCCAAACTCACGACTATTTCGGGGGATTTTGTATGAGGATGAGAATCATGATTTTGTGTGGTGGTATCCATGCGTATCTGAGGAAAAGTTAAGGGTGATAAATTCATGTAAGGCTTAAAGGAGGCACGTACGTCACAATAATTTAAAACTCGGTGACTTTGCTTCAAGTTTGCGCACTGTCTAATGATTTGTCTATATCAAGTAGGGTTGACGTGAGCATCAACCCTTCTAGGGGTGAATCGGCCTTCATTGTAGTTAATCGTAGCTAACTTAATTTGCGCAAGAGGGGAGACCACATCTATTCATTCAAAAATCAATTACAAACTAGGTTTTTTTTTAAGATATTACTTCCTCAAATCTTCAATAATTTCATATTAGTCCCTTACATCTTTGAAATTGCTCATAAGGCCCTCAAACCCTAAAGGGTCTTGAAAATTAGTTCCTTAATGACCAAAATGCCCTCACCTTATGTGTGTGTGTATATATATATATATATATATATATATAAATATGGGTATGCTTGGTATCAAGCACAAATTTTGTGCTTGATAGTGATGTGTCACATCCTCATCCACTCACTACTCATGTGAATTTGTTCCCACATTTGAATGAGTGGAGGGGGATTTGACACCTCACTACCAAGCATAACTTTTTGTGCTTGGTACCAAGCATACCCATATTTCTCATATATATACTACTATAAAAGAGGATTGCTATGTTAAAACTTTTGATTTCCTTTTATACCCTCTCAATTTTAATAGGGGAAGAGAGATTCCGTCGAGAGAGAAATTATCGGCCACCAAACACAGGGAAAATTAACAGCATCGAACACAAATAAATAATGAATTTTTACATGGTTCAAGGTTCCGACGTCCACCGGTGCAGAGAAGGGGAGGGTTTTCACTAATCGAGAAGAGTACAAATAGAAATTACAAAAATCACTTAAAATCTCTCAAACAAATGCCTAAAGCAAAGTTGCTCAGAAAACTCTCTTTATGTGCACCAAATAACCCATTTTCAACTCTACTTACCCTAAATAAACGTGTTTTTAATATATAGCAAAACACAAACCCAATTAGAACATGAAACCAGGAATCAGGGCCCGAACCCGACTGACTGGTCGAGCCGGCTCAAATACCATCGCGGTCAACGCGGATCGATCGACAGAGAACAAAAAAAATCCATTACAGGATCCGCGATCGAGTCGCGGCCAGATGATCAGAAACTACCATGTTAGCGTGCACGTTTCCGGCGACCGCACCCTTGGTCACGGTCGACGCGGAAATGCCTGCCACAACTGTTTCCTTCGTGCAAATTTCCTTGAACTTGCAACCCCGGTTTGGTCGGCCGTTTCTAGCAGGCTTCAATCTCAACCCTCTAAATCGAAAATAATGGATATAGGATCGAAGTAAGTTGGACACCTCTTAATTGTATCACCTAATGTAGAGAGGATCCAATCCGTCTATGTTTCAACAAATAAAATAAATTTCAAATAGAAATGGGAAATAGTCAATATGTGCACCTATATGATCTTTCCAAAAGAATTTAGATAAGTCCAAACTCACCGACTGATTCGCGGGGATTTTTGTATGAGGATGAGAATCATCGATTTGGTGGTTGGTATCTCAATGCGGTATCTGAGGAAAAGTTAAGGGTGATAAATTCATTGTAAAGCTTTAAAGGAGGCACGTAACGTCCACAATAATTTTAAATAACTCGGTGACTTTGCTCCAGTTTGCGGCAATGTCTAATGATTTGTCTATATCAATAGGGTTTGACGTTGAGCATCACCCTTCTAGTGGGTGATCGGCCCTTCATTGTAGTTAATCGTAGCTAACGTTAATTGCGCAAGAGGGGAGACCAACATCTATTTATTCAAAATCAATTACAAACTAGGTTTTTTTTAAAGATATTACTTCTCAAATCTTGCTATAAATTTCATTATTAGTCCTTACATCTTTGAAATTGCTCATAAATGGCCCTCAAACCCTAAAAGGGTTCTTCGAAAATAGTTCGCTTAATGACCCAAGAATGCCGCTCACCATTAATGTGGTGTGATGTATATGATATATTATATATATATATATATTAAATAGGTATGCCTTGGTGATCTAAGGCAAACAAATTTTGGCTTGATAGGATGTTGTTCACATCTCATCTCACTCACTACTATTGAATTTGTTCCCACATTTGAATGAGTGGAGGGGATTGACACCTCACTACCAAGCATAACTTTTTTTGTGCTTGGTACCAAAACATACCATAATTTCACACACAGCTACACTACACACACACATATATATAACTATATATATTATATATATATATAATATATATGCAAAACTTGTGTCCACTTAGGGCCATCCACTAAACTTTTTAGAACCCTTAGATGTTCCCTAGGGATGCCTTGCATGAGTATGATAGTGACTTTTTTATATGTTAAATGAGTGGTATATAAGTTTGGTGGACGACACTATTCAGCTATCACGATTAAGTTGACACAAGTTCTACTATATATATATATATATAATATATAAGATATATATATATACTAATATATATATATTAATATATAAGAGAGAGAAGAGAGAGAGAGAAAACTGTATGTCAACTTTAAGTGACATTCCACCCAGAACTTTTTAACCATTAAGATATTTCCTAGGGATCCTTGCATGAATATGAAAGTGACCTTTTTATATATATATATATATATGAGTGGATATAAAAGTTTGGTGAACCAAATGGCTCTTGTTCAACTTAAGTTGACATAGAGTTTCATAATATATATATATATATATATATATATATATATATATATATATATGATATATATATATATATATATAGTATATATATATATATATATATATATATATATAAACACACACACATGTACACACGCATACATACATATACATACAAGTTTGAAGGGCGTTTTACGTACAGTTTAAAAGAAATGTGACGGATATTTAGGTATTTTGCAATTGCCTATAAGTCTATAGTAAGGATATGAAAATTTTAAATGATTGATAGACATGTCCTCCATTCCATATGTATTTAGGAGGATAAATTTTTAATTTTATAAAAAGGTGTTTTCTTCTTCCCTTTCTTTTCTCTTTTCTTTTTCTAAAACATTCTAAACTTTGACATGATTGTATAATTAGAGTTTATTAATTAAATATCTATGACAATTTGTGTTGTAAGAGATATAAATATAAAATAAATAATAAGAAGATATTCTTAAAAAATTATTAGACATAAATAAATATAAATATAACAATTAAAATTTTACTGCACTCTCATCTAAATATTATTGTAAGCCAAAATATATGCACACACTCGGATTAAAAGTAATTAAATATATTAAAAATGAAATATGAAACATACTCTTCTTATTAACATTATCTAAAGTGTCCTTATGATGGTGTTTTGAAAATATTCCACCAAATTATGATATACTCTACTTTTCTTTTGTGAAAATCACATCATCACTCAAATTGAACTGAATTTCAAATAAAGTAATATAAAATAAGTCATCTCAATGGAAAAAAAAATATTTTATAAAACTCGATGAAACTCTAGTGAAAGTGTTCTTTTATATAAAATTTGGAATGACTGGGTTTTACATCCATTTCACGTGCACTTACATATGCAATAATGTTGGTCACATATTTATGACCCATTAGAGTATTAAAATGAACATGTTTAATATAAAAAATTAGAATAATTAAGTTTTAATGTCGGTTGCACATGCATTTGCCCATGCAATAATGTTACTACTACATAATAAACTAAGTGAGGGCAATCAAAATTCAAAAATTAAATGTTTGATGGACATGTTCTCCTTCCAATTGTAGTTGAAGGGTTAGAGTTGTAATTTTACATTGAATATATTTCTCTCTTTTATTTTCTTTTTCTTTCTTCTAGAACCTTCTATCATTAAATATCATCAAAATATAATTAGTACCCACAGAATTGAATATGAAGTATATTTACATTATAGATTATAAAAAGCATAAAGAGAAAATAATAGTGTCTGATTTTTTTTAAAAAAAGATTCTATACTGCTATCCATATAAAAATGATTGCTTCAATTTCTACCATTGCCACAAGTCTATCATATTAGCTATTTTTTAATATAAGTTTTCAAAAAAAAATTTAAACAGCCCACTTTTAATTAAAGTTTGTGTGATCGCAACTTAAAAGAGTTTGCATGCTCTAAGTATCTCTACATAAATTTTAATTTCA